AACCAACTATAAAAATAATTAAATAAGAACCCACGATATCTACAAGTTAGTCATAAATTATGATTGTTAAATATAAGGCATTTAAACTCACAAAACCCTGTAAACTATCCACATTTTTTTTCTAGATATTTGTTGTTGTTCATCTCGTTTCACTGTTTAAACTCTCCCTATTAATCTCAACCTACACGTAAATAATTATTTCAAACACAAAGGAACCTGACACACCAATGCAACTCCAGACGCTGTAAGCTCGCACACACCTTGGGATCAATCACTCACACAAGACCATGGGAGTTTGGTGCTTTTCTTCACCAAAGAGTACTTTTTTTTTTAGTTTGTTTGTTTGTTTATTTTTTATTTTTTTATTTTTTTTCTAAAAACTGTGCTTGTTCATTAGGCAAATAGTAATACTTTCGCATAGGCTTTATGAAAACACACGGTTCGGAAGCAGTCCTTGTTCCCTGCCCGCATGGCCAGGGTCTAAATCACCCTGCTCCTCTCCCTGCTTCATCCCCAGCTCATGCCTGGATAGACCAGGCCGGCGTACAGTGTATTTTACTAGCAAAGCCTTGCTTTGCTTGTCCACATTATTAGTAATATTCATACTATTTTTAATGCTGCTTCAATCTGCTGCTGCTGGAGCAAGCCCCATAGGTATCGATGGACCACTCCTTGACCCATGGACATCAGGCCTGGGACTACCACATCTCCCAGGAAGCCATCATTTGCACTGGGTGACAATAGATCATAGAATCATAGAATTACAGAATGTTTGGGTTGGAAAGAACCTTTAAAATTCATTGAGTCCAGCCACTCTGCAATGAGCAGGGATACCTTCCACTGAGATGGCTCAGAGTGTCATCAAACCTGACCTTGAATGTTTCCAGGGATGGGGCATCTGCCACCTCTCTGGGCAACCTGTGCCAGTGTTTCACCACCCTCATTGTAACCCATTATGTCTTTCTCATCTGCCATTATTTGTCCCCCTGTCCACTCCCTCCTACCTACATGGGCACAGCAAAAGAGAGGTTCCTCCATCCTCACACCCACAGGGCTCCCCTCTTTTTCTCTCCCTCTAGTTTGGAAAATAAACAATCTCTGGGGTGCCTCTGAGGCTGGTATTTTCCAGCTACAGCTCATGAGACTCTCTCAATCTCTCAGATAGTAATTTATGATTGTTTCTACTTGGAGAGCATCGCTTGGCTCCGGTGAAAAGGATGCTCAGGGAAGTCAGAAGTCGCTCACACCACATCAGCATTTTCAATGTATTATTTTCCCGGCTAATTCCTTTTTCTCCTCTGCTTTTCTCTCTTTTGCTCTCCTGGTATGCAATAATAATAATAATAATAATAATAATAATGATAAAAAAAAAAGACTT